TTCCTAGGTAGTGCAAGCATTAGGTGGAGGCGAAGGCGGTGCCGCTGGTAACCTAGGTGGTGGTGGAATTGCTGGGATTTCAGAGGTGTGGTGGATTCAGTGAAATGGAGAAGCGGTTTTTGGGGCTAATTCTGGTAACGGAGGAGGTGCTAGCATCGGGTTTTGGCTGAGAGAGCCGGTTAGGTGGTAACATTGGTGTGGGAAATGGTTTGGTGGTAACAGGGGGGGGGTGGGGGTTTTGGAGTAACATTGGTAGCAGTGGGTTTGGTGGAAATATTGGTAGTACCATAGTTTTATTGGAACATTGGCGAAGTGGTACAGTGGTGGCACTGGAGGTTTGGTGGTAACTGGTGGTGTCAGTAGTTACAGTGAGAATATTGGTGGCATTGGTGGTAACAGTGGTGGTAGCGGAGGTTTGGGTGGCATTTCAAGTGTTGTGGCCACCTCTGTTGATAGTTACAGCTTCTCCCCCAAAAACATTAACACCACTAGTCTATACATATCCCTTAAACCATTTATCACAAGATTTGACTTAAGTTCCTTATGCTAACGTTCGTATGAACACCAGTCTACCTTTACATAATTGTTATCTGTTCATCAACAGAGTTATATGTGTATAAGAACTTCGAGGAACAAGATTGTGTCATCGACGACTTTCTCCCGTTCCTCGTCGTCTTTATAAGCAAGTTCAATAATTCACTTGTTATGTTTTTTTAAATATATATCTATATACTGGAATGCACAGCGCTTGCGCCCTCTAGTCAGTTCTGAAATACGTTATGTTGTCACATGTAGATACAACATTAAACTTGTTAAACCTAACATTGTTTCCATATGTTACCTGGGTCGAATGAAAAATCTGAAACTGCAACAATTATCCCAGAAAGATAATTAATATGNACATAAGATCGACACCATTCCCAGCCCTTCTAGGGTTTAGGTATTTGCCCTTTGAGCAGAGCTTGTAGCTATAGACTGTCATTCCCCATTAGCCCCTTGGGCGGGGAATGGCAGGAACCAAGAGCCTAGCTTCTCCCTAGGCCCCGTGGGGCGGAATGTGGCAAGGCCTGGGGACAGTTGGTCCCAAAGATAAGTGGATACTTGTGCCTCCTCCCATGGGAGACTTAGGTCTCAGAAACTCCCTAGAGAGGGAGCCAAGGCCGGGCCACCACTTGTAAAAGGGCCGGGCCGGGAGAATATCAGCGAATCTTTAATAATAAATAAATAATAATGTGACATAAACTTTCGGTGTTTATACGGATTTATCAAGCAGACGAATGTGGTCTCGCAGGCAACACCTTGTTGATCAAGTAGCGAGAAACTCTTCCAAGTTCTTTCGCGTTCAATGTTCATGAATATGAATATATATATTTTTTTTATTAGAAAACTTTTCTTACCCTCGCTTTGCATATTGTAATGAGTAGATACACACACGATTTTGAGCATCTAAAATTGAAAATGAATATTTATTTATTCAAGGATTATATGGAGTAAAATAAGGGTTGGATATGAAAAGTGGGATATAGTAAGTGTAAATTTATGCACCTGGAGAAGAAAGAAGTGTAGAGGAGAGAGAGAGATTTTGGCAAATGTTGAGTGTGTGGGGAGTATTGAACCAAGTGGCTGGGGATCTCAATGCAAGTTAGTAAAAATGTTATGGAGGGAGTAGTAGGTAAATCTGGGGTGCCAGGGGTAAAAGAAAACGGGGAGCCTGTAACTGAACTATGTGTAGAAGGGGGTTTGGTAATAAGTAATACATATTTTATAAAAAAGATGATAAATAAGTATACAAGGTTTGATATACCACTTAATGAAAGTAGTTTGTTAGATTATGTAAAAGTTGATGGGTAGGCCTCAGGATATACTTGTTTACAGAAGGGCAACAGATATGTCGGATCATTATTTACTTGTAGCTACAGTTAGAGTAAGAGGTAGATGAGACAAAAGAAAAATGGCAACAGCAAGTAAGAGAGAGAGATGAAAGTAAATAAACTAAGGGAGGAGGAAGTTAGGGTGAGACATAACAACTATTGGCAGAAAGGTGAACTAGTGCTAGTATGGGTAGTGGGGGGAGGGGTTGAAGAGAGTTTGGATAGTTTTAAAAATGCAGCATTAGAATGTGGGGCAGAAGTTTGTGGTTATAGGAGGGTGGGTGCAGGAGGAAAGAGGAGTGATTTGTGGAATGATGAAGTAAACTGTGTGATAAAAGAGAAAAAGGTAGGTTATGAGAGATTTTTACAAAGCAGAATTGTTGTAAGAAGAGCAGATTATATGGAGAGTAAAAGAAAAGTGAAGAGAGTGGTGAGAGAGTTCAAGAGGAGAGCAGATGATAGAGTGGGAGAGGCACTGTCAAGAAATTTTGGTGAAAATAAGAAAAAAATTGAAGTGAGATGAACAAGTTAAGAAAGCCTAGGGAACGACTGGATTTGTCAGTTAAAAACAGAGTAGGGGAACTAGTTGATGGGGAACTGGAGGTATTGGGTAGATGGTGGGAATATTTTGAGGAACTTTTAAATAAGAAAGGGAGGTGGTAATATCATGGACTGGTCAGGGAGGTATAAAATATTTTAAGAGTGCAGAAGAGCAGGATGTGAGTGTGAAGGAGGTGCGTGAGGCATTACATAGAATGGAAGGGAGTAAAGCAGCTGGAACTGATGACAGAAATGTTAAAAGCAGGGGATGATATAATGTTGGAGTGGTTGGTATTTTTGTTTAATAAAAGTATGAAAGAGGGGAAGGTACCTAGAGATTGGCAGAGAGCATGTATAATTCCTTTATATAAAGGGAAGGGGGACAAAAGATAAAGTGTATGGTAGAGTTATTATTGAAAGAATTGGAAGTAAGACAGAGGAAAGAATTGCAGATGAGCAAGGAGGCTTTAGAGTGTATAGGGGGTGTGTAGATCAAGTGTTTACATTGAAGCATATATGTGAACAGTATTTAGATAAAGGTAGGGAAGTTTTCATTGCATTTACGGATTTAGAAAAGGAATATGATAGAGTGGATTGGGGAGCAATGTGGCAGATGTTGCAAGTGTATGGAATAGGTGGTAAGTTACTAAATGCTGTAAAGAGTTTTCATGAGGATCGTGAGTATCAGGTTAGGGTGTGTAGGAGAGAGGGAGATTACTTCCCGGTAAAAGTAGGTCTTAGACGGATGTGTATTGTTATCATGGTTGTTTAATATATTTATAGATGGGGTTGTAAAAGAAGTAAATGCTAAGGTGTTGGGGAGAGGGATGGGATTAAATTATGAGGAATCATATACAAAATGGGAGTTGTCACAGTTAGTTTTTGCTGATGATACTGTGCTTATGGGAGATTCTAAAGAAAAATTGCAAAGGTTAGTGGATGAGTTTGGAGTGTGAAAGTAAAAGTTGAAAGTGAACATAGAAAAGAGTAAGGTGATGAGGGGATCAAACGATTTAAAATAAAGAAAAATTGGGTATCACATTGGGAAAAAGGGAGTATGGAAAGAAGTGAATGTTTTCAGATATTTGGGAATTGACTTGTCAGCATATGGGTTTATGAAGGATGAGGGTAACCATAGAATTGATGAAGGAAAAAAAGTGAGTGGTGCATTGAGGGATATGTGGAGACGAAAAACCTTATCCATGGAGGCAAAGAAGGGAATGTATGAAAGTATAGTGGTGCCAACACTCTTATACGAGTGTGAAGCTTGGGTTGCAAATGCTGCAGCGAGGAGGTGGCTGGAGGCAGTGGAGATGTCCTGTCTAAGGGCAATGTGTGGTGTAAATATTATGCAGAGAATTCGGAGTGTGGAAATTAGGAGGAGGTGTGGAGTTACTAAAAGTATTAATCAGAGGGCGGAAGATCGGTTGTTGAGGTGGTTTGGTCATTTAGAGAGAATGGATCAAAGTATAATGATTTGGAGAGCGAATAAATCTGTAGGGGAAGGTAGGTGTGAGTAGGAGTCGTCCTCGAAAAGGTTGAAAGGGGCGGGTAAAGGAGGTTTAGTGGGCGAGGGGCTTGGACTTCCAGCAAGCGTGCGTGAGCGTGTTAAATAGGAGTGAATGGAGACGATTGGTACTTGGGACCTGACGAGCTGTTGGAGTGTGAACAGGGTAATATTTTGTGAAGGGATTCAGGGAAACCGGTTATTTATATAGAGCCGGACTTGAGTACTGGAACTGGGAAGTACAATGCCTGCACTTTAAAGGAGAGGTTTGGGATATTGGCAGTATGGAGGGACTTCTAAACTGTCGTATCTGAGCGCCTCTGCAAAAACAGTGATTATGTATGAGTGAGGTGAAAGTGTTGAATGATGAAGAAAGTATTTTTCTTTTTGTGGATTTTTTTTCTTTCTTTTTTGGGTCACCATGCCTCCGTGGGAGACGACCGCCGTGTTGAATATATATATACGTATACACAATCCTTAAGAACGGCGCATCCAGCCCGTGGACTAAAGCATCATGAGTTTTCGCTCACCATTAGGCGGGCCAAACCAGCATGGGTTCGATTTCTTGGCTAGTCGCAGTGTTGTTATTGATCAATACCACTCGTTTGTGGGTACATAATATATAATTTTATATATATAATATATATATAAAATATATAAAATTATATATATATATTATATATATTATATATATATATATATATATATATATACAGTGGTCCCCCGCTTTTCGTAGTTCCCGGCAATCGTAAAATTCGCCAATCATAGGGGTATTTTCGTATAAAACCCTGGACTCGCTTTTCATAGGTGACTCGCGAGTCGTAGTTCGTCCGGGACGCGTACCCACGGCGTGAGCCAGTCTGGCATTGTTTACCAGTGAGCGAAGGTCCCCTCACTGCTCCAGCGAAAATATTTCATAATTCCATTTATTTTAGTGCTTGCAAGTATAAATAAGCTACCATGGCTCCAAAGAAAGCTCCTAGTGCCAAGCCTGTGGTAAAAGAAAGGTGAGAAATTTCGACTGAATTTAAGAAAACCATCATTGAACAATAGAAAGTGGTACAAATGTACCGAAAATGTCC